CCTCTAACTGTTCTGCTCTGATTAACTCCCATACACTCTCCTTACCCACCCAGTTTCTTCTAGGGACTCATGTTGATCAACTGTCATTGCCAAAGCTAACCAAGGGAAAAGGAAGCCATCACAGTGAAATACTAATACTCATTTCCAACCAGATTTCCAATTGCTCATTTTCAATCTGCTATGTAAAGACCTTAGTCAATATATATCTTAAGCAGCATCCAGCCTACTTTATTTTTCACACTGGTGCTATTTCTGATCTCTTTCTCTGTCATCTTGCTCCATGGGGACTCCCTATATGAATCTATCATTTGCATCCCATGGAGAAAAATAGCATATACTTGAAATCCCATCAACTTTCCCAAAGAGCTAACAACCACAGGAGCCAAGAAGACCACAGGCAACGTTCTCTTCCTTTTGATTCTGTGTCTCTATCACATATGTTTTAAATGACCACTTTTTCAAAGGATCCCGGGAAACAGAGAACTAATACAAATATAAACATGTGAGGGGATCCTGGCATTCCTTTCAAAATTCCTTTGTCAAAGGGAAGCTTCAGGTTTCTGGGAAATGTCATACTCTTAGCTCCTGGCTCAAGTAATTTCCCTTGTGGGATACAGAGTTCTTGCTTTCCCCACAAGGGAATTGGCTGTGATAGTTTGTGATTCTCAAAAGAATCATGTTCTAAAATAGATTCTGAAATTTGTATTAATGAAACATCTATTTTGCACATCTAGCATTCTGTATCCTTTTTTTAAAATAATGCTTTGTAATGAAGCGTCTATCATAAAAACCATTAAACTGTACAGATGTTGCTTATGCAACACAATTTAATGTCTCAGCAGGAACTAGTGATTTGTACATACATTATACATCATCATGATGTATATTTCTGGATTTTGAATGTTTGGAGGGCAAATAGTCACCAATATGGTTGTGGCACTAGACTATGATTTTTTTCCTTAATATCAGGCCATGGCCTAATGTCTAATATAAAATAATTATGCACTATAGGTTTATTAAAGAAATGGCACAGTTTGTGTTATAAATGTCTGTTCATAATGGGTTCAAAGATTTTAAAATATGAAAATTTAGAAAGTTGAAAGGAGAAGTGCTGGAAGAGGAGGAAAGATTTTCTGTCTGCTCCTTGGCCAGCCATCAGGCATTTACTTCATGTGTCTTGCTGTTTCACTTAGGATTCTTGGTCCCAAGCAACAGAAATAGATTCTAGTTGATAGGAGCAGAAAAAGAATGAAATGAAATTATATTAGATCACAGAAGAGATGGGACGTCCAAAGAAAGAAGCTTGGGCAAAGGGTACAAACAAAGGTGAGCTACTAGCCTAAAGGAATTCTTAAAATGCTGTGTCTCTAAAATTCTTGACAGGAACACATGCCTGACTGAGCCCAGATTGCATGCCATGCCATGGATCCAGGGGGATCCGCGGAACACGTATCTGATACCTCCTAGCTTCTACGACAGGATGTGGCTCTGCCCCTCACTATGGCTTGTAATATGGGAATTCCCCAAAGATGGGAAAGAGCTCACAAGTTGGCTAGTCCCCCCACAAAAAATGTGTATATGAACGAGTCTGTTACACTTCCTACCTGGTCAAAAGCATTTTGAATTTCCTCTCTTCTTTGGCTTTTGGCCATGCCTGCTTTGATAATCCTCAACACTGAATAAACACGACCTTGTTTTTATTGTGGGTCTCAGGGCAGTTAAAAACCACTTAGGAAGTACACACAATTGGTCATGAGTCTTTAGTCTATTCCTAGTAAATTAAATTAGTACAAAGGTTCTAAACTCATCTCTAACTCCCTGTAATTTAATTCTGTACAGGTCTTCAGGAGATTCTGATACACATTTCTGGTTGGGAACCATTTTTTAGTCTTTCTTATTTCCCATAGCTTCTTTACAAACCATTTCTATTTTTCTGAAGCCCCAACCTCACGCCATCAGTCATAATCAATGACCCAACTGGGAAAACCAGGCCATCTGAGGCAAACTCACTCAACCTCTCTCCAGAGATTTCAACTCAAACTTTCTTCTCGTCTTTATCCATTTCATCCTCCTGCCCTGCTTTGTTCTTCTTCTTCCCAAGGCTAAGTGGCTAATGTGATACTCATCTAGATGTCCTCTCAACTATTGCCTAATATTCACCTTTTTTTTGACTGTGTCTCTGGCCTCATTTCCCTGTTGTCTAATTTGCCTTGACCCCAAACATCCAAGTCTTGCTGACCTAAAAACCCTTTCAACTAGACCCTGACTCCCATAGGCCATGTTCCTGTTCTACACCTTCATCTTTCACATCCAAGGAGCTGAAAGAGGCAGTCTGTACTCATGGATGCTTCTCTCTGACCTCTCACTCGTCCCTCAACTCTTTTTATTTGTTTGTTTTATTTTCAACATTCACTTGGTAGCAGTCATTCCTCAACTCTTGTTAGTGCTTCCAAGCTCACCTTCCAGACACAAGTCAGTCATGGCCTCCTGACAGCCATCCAGTGGCCTCTTCTTTATCTGCATCCCCCATGACCTTTCAGAAGCATATGGCCCTGTTGAAAACCTCTTTCCTTCTTTGTGGCTTTTGGTGCAAATCCCTCTGGATTTTTCCTTCTACTTCTCAGATGATGCTTTATCAGTCTTCTTTTCTGGGCTCTCTCCTCTTCTTCCTCCATTTTCTCATCCAGGCTGTTCTCATTTCTTTAGCTGTAATTGCAAAGTAGATGACATTTGGATGTGTGTCCCCAACCCTGAGTTTTCTATTCAGAGTTCAGATCTTTCCAACTGATCACATACAAAGGGTGCCCAAGCCCTTTTCCTTCTCCACCTTTCCATCCCATCACTTCTTTTAAAAATTTACTGTGGTTAAATATAAAAAGATTAAAATTTGCCATTTTCACCACTTTTAAGCATATGGCTTGATGACAGTAAGTACATTCTCATTGTGCTCAATCATATCTTTTAAATATCTAAATAGTTGGGAGTAGAAGGACCATTTCTGGTTTATTCCTGGGGTCTGTCCACATCTCCATATCACTGGCCAACCCTGGCACTTAGTGGTTAAGAGCATGGGCTCTGGTGAGTGTGATCTGAGTTTAAATCTCAGCTCTTTAACTGTAGCTGAGCCTTTCAACCTCTCTGGTCTCATTTTCCTCATCTTGGTATTCTCTACAAGGTAAGAAATTAGCTGTTATTGCTTCACTCTGCTGAAGTAATAACAGCTTTGTTTATTTGTAAGCAAACCCCCTTTAAATAACTTGTCCTGCTGGGGCTTGTGCTGGAAATGGAGAAAAAAATCATGCATTTGAAGAAAGGGATGGATCTTAGCCAGAACATAGAAGTTTCTGATATATTGGAGTGGGATGTAGAATCTGGCAGTGGCTTGGATTTATGAAACAAACAGCTCCACCTACACTTGTTATGAAAAAGATGGGAAAACAATCCATCAGTAAACGATTTTGGTGAGTGCTTCTATCTTTGGTCAGAGGAGTAATTATTCATCAGTGACAGGTGAACCTCTGTGAAAATTGAAAGGGCAATTTAGTTGAAATGGAAGAATTTACTCAGGAAACAGGTGATTTTGGAAAATTTGATGTGCATATCTCTTTCCTTCCTTCCTTTCTGTCTTCCCTTCCTTCCTCCCTTCCTCCCTTCCTTCCTCCCTCCTTCCCTCCCTCCCTCCCTCCCTCCCTCCCTCCCTCCCTCCCTCCCTTCCTTCCTTCCTTCCTTCCTTCCTTCCTTCCTTCCTTCCTTCCTTCCTCTTTCTTCTTTCTGTCTTTCTCTCTCTTTTAGACAGCATTTTGCTCCTTTTGCCCAGGCTGGAGTACAATGGTGCAATCTCGGCTCACTGCAACCTCCGCCTCCCGGGCTCAAGCGATTCTCCTGCCTCAGCCTCCTGAGTAGCTGGGATTATAGGTGCCCACCACCATGCCTGGCTAATTTTTTGTAATTTTAGTAGAGACAGGATTTTGCCATGTTGGCCAGGCTAGTCTTGAACTCCTGACCTTAGGTGATCCACCCACCTTGGCCTCCCAAAGTGCTGGGATTGCAGATGTGAGCCACTGCACCTGGCCTGATGTGTATATCTTTTAATACACTTTTAAATCCTGCATTTATAGAATCATTGTGGATATAGAGGCCAAATCAGTGTTTATTTCATTTCATGAAGAAAAGTTTGCCTGTGAATGTTGGGAATTCTAGCAGGTCCCGCCTTAATGTTAAGAGGCGTTTTGTTTGTCTTTGGCATTGATCTCCTTCTGGACTGGACCTGATCCACTTCTCACATCCAGTCCAGGACCTGTCACAAAAGACTCACTTTAGTACCATATGTGAGTACCTGTTTTAGTAAAGAATAGGTGAAGTATTTTAGCGAGTAGATCCTACTTTTCCTTTCAGATGCAGTGAACAGAAGACCCTGAAAGGATTTCAGTCCAGAATGTCACAGGATAATAAGAGCAGATGTATGTGATGCCCTTTACAAAGCACCTTTACATACTTTTTCTCATTCATCTCTAATGACGCTTGCTTGAGGTAACCCTTGTGATCTTCCACTTTTTTCAGATGAGGAAACTGAGGTTCATAGTGGTTAAACAAGTTGCCCGAGATTTCACAGCTAATAACATGTGAAGCCTAGCCTAGCACCCAGGACTACAAATTCTTGGCTTCTTTTAAGGCCACATTTCCCCTCACCAGAATGGTGACCTTTCTGGAGATATACTCTACCCTCGGCCTTGATGTTGAGGACTTGGTCATCTTAAGCATGTGGGCCACGTGGGCAAGGCAGCCCTTCTCAATTGTAAATGTCCCCAAGTGGAGCCCAGGCGTCTGGTGTGAGCTAGAAGGCGCCCTGAACACTTGGTGGCCTCAGCCACCACGTAACGGCAAGTGCTCAGGTCCCATATTCGGTTAGACGCCCCTCTCTACTGGCATCTGCGCCGTGGAGGCACCACTGCCCTCTGCCTTCGCCCCAGCAAGCGTGTGTCCACCCAGACGTGCCACGCCAGCCGTGCGCCCCAGCAGCTCGCCGTGCGCCCCTGCCCCAGGTGCCCACTCGCTCGCGTGCCGTCGGTCTGCGCCTGGGAGACCCGCAGCAGCGATCGCCCGGAGCCACCCTGGACCGCGGCCTCGGGTCCCCCACACTCCAGGGGCGGAGCGAGGAGCCGAGACGTCAGGGCCGAGAACGAGCGCGGGGCGAGCGCGCCCTCTTGGCGGCTGCCCGCGTCCCACGTCCTCGGCTGGCGCGGGCGGCGGCGACCAGGAGATGCAGTGAGCGGCGGCCCTGGGGCGAAGCCAGGCGGCCGGGCGGGTGGAGGCCAGAGGCTGAGCCCGGGCGAGCCCGCCGTGCGCACAGCTCTGCCCGCCACCCCCAGAACGGATCCCCAGCCACCCCTCGGCGTTCCCCTGGGTTCTAGCAAAGCCCCTTGGGGTGCCCATCAGTTTCCTTGGGTGACTACAGCGTGTGTTTTGTTTTTCTTTCCTCTCTCCCCTGCCTGTGTGCCCTTCTCCAGGATGGCAGAGGCGGAATTGCACAAGGAAAGGCTGCAAGCCATAGCAGTAAGTCCACTTTCATTTTATTTTCTTGCTCTATTGTCTGGGGTGGAAGGGGACCCAGAGGGTTTCGGGGAGAGCGGCATGCCAGCACAGTAGCCGCAGGGCATATGTTCCGGGGACTAAAACTCTGTCAGGGCTCAGCTAGGCTGCCTTTTCTTTTCTGTGTCTGTAGATGGAAACCCCCAGGGCACGCTTTGGACTGGGGATCTGAATGTGAAAGATTGTCTTGGAAATAAGATGCTTGCTGCTGGGCTTTGGGGAAGGACTAAACAGAGGCTTGGGGTAGGGGGACAACTCCAGAAATATTATCACCCAGTACTCAGGCATACGTTGACTTTATACCCTGGAGAACCAGGAGAAGGGTGACCTGAACGGTGGCAGCCATCCTCTCTGCGGAAGCCATCCGACTGTTAAGTGGAAAACCAGGAGTCAGCGACTCAGCCAGCCATGCGGTAGGACCTCCTCCCAGAAACCGGGAATGTTAGTTTTCCCTTCTCTGTTTGATATTGACAAGGGCTCTGGCTCAAGCCACCACCCTGGAGTAGGTGTGGGGACTTCTTACAACTGGGTCCTGGTTATAATATTCCATGAGAGCGTCCTTCTTAGGGGTGTGGAGTATCTGAAAACCTATTTTCATTATACAAAGGAGCAGCCAGTTTGGCAAAGTTCGTAGGCACTTTCAGATAAGTGTACCCATGTGCATCTTGGTTTTAAAAAAAGAACTCTCTGAGACTGCCTAGATTTGAGCAATCTTAACACAGTGTTGCCAACGATCCACAGATGTGGTATTTTTACTGGAGCCACCACAGCTGGATTATATATTTCCTTTGAGGATGAGGGAATGATTACTGCTGCCATATGAAATAGTAACAATCAAAGAAAGAAGTTCTGTTAACATATTGGCAGAAAAGAATCTCCAGACATTCTTCCACCTAAATATTTTTTTTTTCCAGTTCAGAAGTTCTCTGGAAACATATATAAATTTGTTGGAGAAATAGTGTGTAATATTTTGGAAGCAAAGTATATTAAAGTGTTTTCCAGAGCCTTTTTTGGGCAGATTCTTCATTGGGAAAATGCATACAGTCTCTTCTTTTTTTGGAAGCATTTGATGTGGTCTCCATGGCTCTAAGACCCTCTTTCTCAAACGCCTCAAATCTGAAGTGTCTTGGAGACTTCAGCACTGAAGTGATAGCGATGTCTTTTGGCAATGCTGAAATGCCATGGTTTGCCTATTAGGTAATCTTTGAATGTGGTGCTCTGAACACAGGAAGGCTGTTTTTGCTTCTATCCCTTTCCCCCTGTGCATGTGTATTTTGATGATTTACAAAGTTATTTGTGGTTTCTAAAGTTGGTGGCAAGGCAGTGTGGCCAGTGTGTCATGAACTGGATAAGAATGGTGATATTGAGTTAATGGTGCCATGTAGCTGGTGGGTGTTTTGTGTGAACTGGATAATAGCCTGCTTTAGCTGTTGATGCAGTGGCTGCTCCCATTGGCCGCTGCTGAAGATTTCCAACAGTTGTCACATTTTCTGCCTTTGCACAACCAGCTTTACTGGATGCCTGAGGAACAGCTGAACTCCATGAAAGGACTTGCTTTCCAAACATGGGGCCAGTAGCTGCTAACACTGGGGCCACCCCCTTCCAAGTACGGTTGAGTAATCCCAGTAGAGGCCAAACTGATTTTCAAGAATGATCTAGGCAAATCTTTAGGAATTCTCTTTAGTGTATAAGAATACACACAAATACTCACTTGTTCCCCTTCAATTATTGAAGAATTGAGTTTGTCCTGTGTATCTGGGGAGCTGTTGACTATTCTCCTGAATGTGCACCTATACAGTCTGCCCTCCCTATCTGTGGGTTCCCTAACCACGCCTTTAGCCAACCTTGGATTGAAACTATTGGAAAAAAATAATGGATAGCTGAGTCTGTACCAACCATGTACAGAGTTTTTTTGTCATGATTCCCTAAACAATACAGTATAATCAACTGTTTACATCACATTTACATTGTGTTAGGTATTATAAGTAATCTGAAAATGATTAATGTATGTGGAAGATTGTGAGTAGGTTATATGCAAATACTATGCTATTTTCTATCAGGGACTTCAGCATCCTTTGATTTTGGTTTCCAAAAGGGGTTCTGAAACCAATTCCTCGAGGATACTGAGGGATGACTGTATGATGTTGTCAGGACAGATTTGCTGAGAGAGAGAGAGAGAGAGAGAGAGAGAGAGTGTGTGTGTGTGTGTGTGACAGAGAGAGAGAGAGTGTGTGTGTGTGTGTGAGAGAGAGGGGGGGAAGAGAGAGAGAGAGTGTGTGTGTGTGTGTGTGTGTGAGAGAGAGAGAGAGAGAGAGAGAGAGAGAGAGGGAGAGAGAGAATTAAGAGACAGAGGGAGTTGAATGGGGGGACTTATGGCCACATAGGTAAGTGGTTTTATGCTGTGCTTTGGCCTAGTGCCCACTCTCTGAATTCTGCAAATCCTGACTCTCTCACCACCTTCTTGGAGTTCTCAGAGGACTCTGAGGAGCTCACAAGACTGCCCCTAGAACCTAGCACACCTGAAGTCTCTCTGGAGACATGAGGGAAGAAGAGAATAGGTCCTCACATCTTCACCTACTTGGGCTTCTCTCTCAGAGGCAGAGCAGATCGACTGGAATTCCAGCCTGCAGGGCCTTGGGCAGTCTTTAGTCTGGATCTCAGTTACTTCATTTGTAGAATGGGCTCATGAGTTCTACCTCCTGGGCTGGTTGTAAGGCTTAGTTAGAATGGAGGTAAAGTACCTGGCAGGCAGCTGCCATTGGATGGTGTTGAGTAAAGCCCTTAGTTTCTGTCTATACTGCTGTCTTGTCCTGTGGGGGGTCAGAAGCAACATCTCTGAAGTGGAATAAGTATCAATGGCATTTTTTTTTAAAGACAGAGCCTCTGTCACCCAGGCTGGAGTGCTGCCATCATGGCTCGCTGCATCCTGAAAGAATCCTCCTGCCTTGGCCTCCCCAGTAGCTGGGATTACAGGCATGTGCCACAATACCTGGATAATTTTTAAATTTTTTTGTAGAGATGGAGTTTCACCATGTTGCCCAGGCTGGTCTTGAACTCCTGGCCTCAAGTGATCCTCCAACCTCGGCCTCCCAAAGCACTGAGATTAAGGGCATGAGCGACTGTGCTCTACCTAAACAGCTTTTTTTGTCCTTCAACTGACTGAAAGTCAGGGCCCTGCCCAGCTTCACTTTCTCTAACTGCTTTAGACAGAGGCAGAGATATGACTTGAGGATTCATTCATCCATTTGTGCAGTAGGTGTTTACAGATTGCCTCCTCTGGGAAGGTACTGGAAACATTGAAAGCTTGATATCCCCAAGTTTCAGCCGCCACAGGCTGAAACCTTTATTTCATCCTTTGCACATAATTTCTTGAAGGACAGAAGTCCTAAAACTTAAGCTGTTTGTCACATGAACATCTGTGAAATATCCCTCCCCCACCCCCCACACACACACAAAACTGAATTAAATACTTAGAAACTACAGTGCTTTAATGGAATCTTCCATTTGGGTCCAGGAACTAATCAATGAGAAAAGATGACTCATCCTGTTTTCTGCCAAAAGAAGAGCAAGGCCATCTTTGACAATTGTCTCTATGCTCACATGCTTCTTTCGTCTGTAGGGATACTCCCCATACTTTACATTGAGCACATGGTAAAGGCTCTGAAACAGTATGAATGAGAATGGTAATCCCAGGGAATAATAACGACAATAGCCATTTATTGAGTGTTGTTCATTCAGTAAGGCACGGTGTGAAGTACTTTTTTTCACCTAACATTATTTATAGTCTAATGGAAGAAATTGAAAAGAACATAAGCAGTTACTATCCAGTGCCAAGAATACTATGAAAATGAGCACCCAGGAAGAACATATAAACCAATCTCAGAGCTGTGAAACAATTCCCCAGAAAGAAGACATTTTAGTAAGTCCTGAAATTGGGTAAAGAAATATATAAAATAACATCATAACCTTTCCAATTATCAGGAATATTTGTTTATTTGTTATTTGATTATTGTTTGTTTAGAACATTTAGCGTGACAAAGAAAAAGACAAAAGCATGAAGAAGTTAAGTCAGTAGCTAAAGACACAAACTCAGAATAAACACTGAAATGCTTTTCAACATGTATTATCTCATTGAATCCTAATCACAAGCTTATGATTATCTCATTGAATCCTAATGACAATATTAACTCATATTTTGCAGGCAAGGGAGTTCTAGAACTGGCCTAACATTCAACTGATAGTATCAAAGCCAGGATTTGAACTCTGCCCACAGCAGGCAGTTGATTGCTTTGACTGCTGCCCTGAGCTGCCACCCAAGATGGTGGCAGTGTCTTACACTTTTCCCATGAGAACACTGTGCAGGTGGTCTCAGAAGCCTGAGTGTAAGCCCAGGAGAGAGCAGCAGTCTGATTTCATTGCACTGGGAAAGCTTGAGACAAGCCAGGAGGCCCACCTCCTTTTGAGAGTCTTTCAAGCCTGGATTCAGTGCATAGAAACACCCAACATAAAGTGTAATGGAACGAGTAACATTCCCATGGGGAAGAAGCTGTTGTGTCTCAATGGAAATCAAGCTTGGGGGAGGGTGCTGTTATGTCTGCACATCAGAGTAAGATAGTTTTCCTTGGGCATGAGTGAAAATAATTAAACATTATAGAGATTGTCTTGGGTGAAACTCCTAGGAGCCACATGGACAAGGCCTCAGGCTGCACCAGGGACCAGCATGAGTCTGTTTATATATGTGCTGAAATAGGAAATGCTAATCTAACCTATGCTATTCTTTAGGGAATTTTGTCATTTAATTAGAACCCACTCTGTGAAGTAATAAAGATGATCTTTGCATTTGTGCAGTACTTTATAATTTATGAAAAGCTTGTACATGCTACCCTCTTTCTGAGGTGTGTAAGGCAAATCTTATACACTTTACAGGTGTACAAGAGGTATCCAAGCTTACACAGGTAGAGGTG